ATGTTTCAAGATGTTCGCTTACCATTCCTCCACTTCCTTCAGATCATATTTTCTCTTCCTCTCATGCTTCAGCTCCAAGTCAGTTCCAGCACAAGTGTAGTATCCATGGTGAATTTGTTCTTCTTGATCGGCTCGCTTCGTAACACCGCATTCTCCTCACCGCAAAATGTAAATGATCTCTACCACCCCTTACCACTCGTCTTAGGGCCGCATGCACTAACATTTCCGCTGGGGAGGGGACCGCAGCTTCAGATTTAAGCTTCATATCCTGAAGCTTCGGATATCTGGATTTCACGCTGTCTACCTGTCCGTAAGTACTCCCACCATCCTTCACTATGAACATATTGAGCAGAAGCAAGAAGCTGTACAAGCCGCATTTTCCAGCTTTTTGTAGGATCCCCTAATGATCCCTAAGGGACGAACATCTGTTCTTCAAAATTACTTTTCTTTCTCCGAAGTTAACGAAAACCTTCCAAAGTTATACTGAACATCTAACACAACAGTGCTAAGCATGTTGCTGATGAGAACAAATGAATTTTTGAAAAATCGAATTTTTCGGTATACCCCAAATTTCGACCTGTGGATCATCGAAATTTTCATGACTTCAAAATATCATTTGTTCTTATGCTTACATGCTTAGCACTGTTGGGTTAGATAATCTGCACAACTCTGGAAGTTTTTCGTTAACTTCGGAGAAAGAAAAATGACTTTAAAGAAAAGCGCCGGGGATCATCAGGGATCATACAAAAGCTGGAAAATGCGGTTCGTACAGCTTTTCACTCCTGTTCAACATGTTCATAGTGAAGGATAGTAGGAATACTTATGGACACGTAAACAGCGTGAAATGCAGATATCTGGAGTTTCGAAATATGAAGCTTTCTTCTAAGCTGCGATCCCCTCCCCGCGGCCATGTTAGTGCATGCGGCCCTTAGTGAAATGAATGGTATAGCTTTCATTTTCCTACATGTAAGTAGGCAAACAAATCAATAAATCAATTGAAGGACCCAGTGAAGCGTCGCGAAAAGTAGCCTATCTTCTGCGCCTGGCCTCGTTTATAGGGGAGCAAATTTCAGCCTCATCGGTTCACAAACAAAGGAGACTATAAGCCACATACTTAAATACGAACAAGTTTACAGAGATTAAGTTTTATTTATATTTAGATTTAGATTAGGCTTCATCGAGTTGTGGGAATGGCATTTGACTTAGGGAGGGCTGATAACGAATATGTTAGCCGTTTGTAATGAGACTCACTACTTTGACTGATTCCGTCGCTTACTTAGAAACTTGGAGCCTGAGAGTTGTTACAAAGGTTGAATGGACATGTTGATTACGAATAGTTGTGTTGGTGAGATTACCCATTACTTTATCATTTCATCATTTTTTGCTAAGTTTGAGCTACGGACCTGGGATTTGGCACGGGGGGGGGGTATATAGAAATAACGAAAGCAACATTTATAACGAAAAAGAATCGTTACATTTACTTCTATCAGTTTTTTGCAAAGTTTGGCCTAAGGGGCTGGTTGGTATACTGGGATAAGTGAGCAGCTGATTGAGAAAACACGGTGGAAGGAAACTAGCATATAAGAGTAGATTAGGGATGGCATAGGCGACTCGTCGCACGCAAAGACTGCGGACGCATCGGCGTCTCTCTGGTCAAGCACTCCTTTGTTTCTCTTACCACAGGCTGTCTCTCCAATGCATGAGCTACGTTGGTCGGACGCAACAGCGCCCAGTCTTTGCATGTTATGAATCGTCGTTACTTTGTTGCAAACCTAGAAAATGCTAATAATTATCATAGTGTATTAATAAAGGCTGGCAAAGCCGCGTAAGCGAGCTATTGCACATTAAAAATCAAAGTATTGTAAAACAAATATTATTCTGTCCTATGCAAATATAGTCTAGTCCGTTAGCCACCACGCAAAAGCCCTTTCTCTCCCAAAAACAAGATTAGAAGCACTGCGAATAAACAGCAAATTAAAAAAAAATTTATGACGAAAACGATGGAACAAATTGAAATTTTTAGGCACGTAAAAAAGATCTGGTGTGCAAACAAGATGCAGTGTATGTGTAAAAAGATAGCATAAGCACGAGAAGTACGACTAAGCATGATTCTAGCACATTTTGTAATTGAAATGAACTCACTTTCCAAATAACGAAGTTTGCTGCAGTGGACAATTGCGAGGAACGAAGAGGATTGCTCATTTTGGACACTGGGCGCTTGAGCCAATGATATTTATTGCATTTGGCGTGCACCACAGAAGAATGTGTGTAAGTGGGTCTCTTAGGCTCTCTTAGGTTCAAGGCATACCTCACGAGATTTCAGTCGCCACGCGATCTGGCAGTTTGCTAGATGTCTTCAAATTCAATACTGGTAGACCTCACAGGCACAGCACATATAATTGTAGGTTGATAAGCCCTATTTTATTTACACTCCAAAACTTCTTACGATGAGTGAGTCATGGCTCATTGGAGGTGAAAAATTGCGTCGGGACTGAAATCGTGAGATATGTTTTCGGCGGGGGAGGTTCGCGAGATTATCGAGATTAGTCTTTGCCATGCCTTTATGTCTCAAGTCAGACACAGTGCCTTCCTTCGCCCCTGTCATGATCCTGTCGCCACGTGTCGCGGCAGGTAGCAACCCTGTGCTGCCTCCACTGACCCCCCCCCCCCCCCCCCTCCCATGGTTGCAAATGATTAGCCGCCATGCCTCCTGTGCTCAAAAAACACTTGGGCGTGGCTTGATGCACTTTCCGAACTTTACGTCACAGCAGGCGGACAAGCATCTATCATCTATTCTATGACTAGGATACGCGAGACCGCTTGCGGACATTGTTCAAATGTCCGCAATGCGGTCTCGCGTGTTTGTTCAAATTTGAATTTATTCTTCCCTGTTTTCGAAGAGCGAATAAACCTCGAAGAGATAAATAACGAGTATAAACCTGCTAGTATACGAATAGGCTTGTTTAGACAATGTGTGCAATGCGGTTTCACGTCTACTAGTCACAGAATGAATGATACTTCGGGCGGTCAGCTTACTGCGTCGATTGAACATGTGGATTATCCAAATTTACAAGCAAGCACCGACCAAGACCGAAATCAAGTTGACTTGGAAAGTTGTTGTAATCTTCCTTCAATTGAGTGATGGATCAGGACACGTAGTGATTATAGCGGTTTATTATTGGACCGAATAAAACAATAGTAATTGGAGACGACTGACATAGCTAGAAAGAGTTTTTAAATAGTGCTTATTTTCCTATAGAAACAGCGCAACATTACAAATCAACATAACATCAACAACCATATCTAAATCTTATATACAACGTAATTTTTCAACGCAAAGTGAGAAGTTGCTTACTCAATACAGGCCATCTAAAATCTAATACATACCTGGCGTCGGGTGTTTATACGAAGTGGTGACAGCAACGCATTCAATGCGTATCGATTGCGGCAGAGTGGCGCTGCTCCTGCCTCACGCTGCAGTAGCTAACACAAAAGGTCATGTCCATACTCAGACATTCGCGGTTAAGTCCCGCCGGTAAAAACTTTATATCCCGGCGGAATGACTGCGGGAGCGCAGGTAAAATGATTCGCGAAGAAACCGGGACTCCTGCATTTCGTTCGGGATAATGCAGCGCGACACGCGCGGTTGTCCCGAAATGTTTTCTATTGAGAAAACAGCGAGCTCTTGCGGGAGACCCGATACTGTCGCAATCCAATCACCGGCGGAAGTGGCACAGCAAAAGTGTAGCTCTAGCCGGTGACGAACCGTGGCAGCGCGTTCAATTTTAATCGCTTACCTGTTCCAGGCAGGCAGTTCCCTTTTCAATAGCGAACATGTTTATAGGTAAACTGAGAACAAGTCGCGTCTCTCAATAATCTCCCGCTTCATTTTTACCGTCGGCATAAGCCCGAAACTCGGGACAAAGCCGGGTATCGCGAAAGACTACCGATTTCTCCGCGATTTCTTATTTTGAGGGCGCATCTCCTGCGGGACTTACCGCGAATGTTTGAGATACCTAGCGACTCATCTTTGAGCAGCGCTGCTTCTGCTGATCAGCACTAATCAGCGCTGCATTAGAATTTGCAGCTGAGTTACGCTCACTTTTTCCGAGCGTTTCTCAGCTGCTTTCAGCCGCAGACAGCTGTTTCTGTTTAAATTTACCTATTTTTACCAGTTTTCAAGCTGCAATAGATGAACTGGAGAGATATACTCCATGAAGCTGAGGGAATATGAAGTAATCTAATCAACTTGACGATGGGTCAGATAAACTGCCTTCACTGGACTCCGACTATGTCATTGCCTGAGGAAGACTATCACATTACGGCTGTTGATAAGGGTCGAATGGAAATGGCACCCTCACCTTTTCATTATAAATTTAATAATAATGGAACATGAACTCCACATGAAAGTAGAATATGACTCCAGATCCAATTCGAAACATGATAACTCTCTCGTTCTCGACAATAACTGGGCGATAGTGTAGTTATTTTCGGCGGTATTTGCACCCAACGAGCACCTAGGAAGCAGCCAACTGCAGCGCTGATCAGCAGAAACAGCGCCGCTTTTGCTGCTCGTTTGTTTTATCGATACCTAAGCACCGAGGTATGTATCAAGTCCAACGGCAAAAGCTCTATGCACTGCAAGCGCAACGACGCGCGTGAGTCATTTTCCTAGCCACAATCTTACCGATGCACGTTTTCACTGCTTCTCATGGTCTCTCACTTTATTTGCTGACAATTGAGACTCTCACTTTTGTCGTGGTCATAACCAGAGCTAGATCACCCCGTCGAAGTTGTGTGATTGCACTACGCGCTGCTGTCGCATTTAGACGGATATTGAAGGTAAGAATATGATAACACACACTCACTTCTTACTGAAGAAACATAAGAGAAGATAACCCAGAGCTGTGGAACTTGAGATTGATTAGCAATCATTGTGCTATAGTTCATGCTATGTGGCAGCGTTTGATTCTGCAAAATCTTATTGATACCCTTTTCAGAACAAGGATGAACTTGTTATGGGAACTGAAAATGCCTTGGTCGTGGACGCTAGAGTTACTGGTCGACCTATGTCATCCATAATACACAAGTTCCACGAGATCCTCTCTTCTTTTGACGTAATCAGCTACAAAAGGGGCGCTGCAATTATCGAAATGCTCCGTACAGTGATAGGAGAGAAGAATTTTAGAAAGGGACTAACGGTGCGTTTTTTTTTCACCTGATTTGTTGTTAAGCCCTCTTTCAGGCATCTTGATCTTTATCGTTTTCAGCTTGTAATTTATGTCAGTTTTGAACGCCCTTTACAGAGCAACATCAGAACGAGACTAGAGTTACAAAGCTTTAATGTTGGACTTCAAATTGCCTAGACTGCAAATTGCTTTAATCCTTTCGGACCTGAGTTTTTCCGAGTAAGCAGAGGAGCCTCACTCCAATTGTTTTATACTTACTACCACATAATTATCCTCACCCTCAAAAGAATTCACTTCAACCACATAAACTCTTTCTTTTTGATTTTTTTTTGATTTTTTGGTTTTGCTTTTATTTTGTTTTCAATTCTCCTTGATACATGTGGGCCCGCGAACAATCAGCAGTTACACTTTCTCAACATTGTACTCGAACATTCTGATAAAATTATGATTATTTTTTGGCTGATAAACGAGGTCCTAAAACGGTGCTGAAGCTGGCGCGAAGTATTGATTGGTTGTAATCCACTGGTGTACAGAAATGTATATATTACAGAAAGGAAAACAAATGAACACGCGGTTTCGAAGCTACATTCGAGAGACAAAGGCTATATGAAGCGTTCTATAGCTATCTATATATATATATATAACAAAAATTGTCAGTTTGGAGGGTATGTGCGTTATAGAAACGCGCGCCGCTCAACCGATTGAGCTGAAACTTTACACACATATGTTTTCGAGCCTTGCGCAGATGATAGGCTACTTTTTGCGGCGATTCGTTGGGTCCTTCTATCGATTTATTGATTTGCAGCACTTTTCAATGAAAATGATTCTTATCATTTGCTATCAAAACAGGGGTATGTAAACAAGGCTGGCATGTCTCATTGTGAACTTCTTTTGACGAAGTGCAGTGAAAAGTGTTCTTGATGTGAGTCTCAATTGCTCATTTAAATGGATGCACTAAATGTATCTTATGCGGAAACCTTAGCGTGTAAGAGACCATGAGTGCTTTGTAGCGAGTGTTTTGTACGGAAGCGTGCTCAATTTACGCTTATAATCAATGCTTTCTTCGTTACATGCTCAATTTAAACAATGAGGGGTCAAAATTTTTCATGAGATTGCGCACAAATTATTTGTCAATACCAGAAATAATGTCAAGACAAGCGACAACTCACATTCGCTATAGTTGATATCTGGGACCAGGAAAGTGCGCGAGTGCAAAGTACTGCCGACTCCACAAAAATTGACGGCAAGCAGTGAATGAAGATGAAGTAGCCGGTTAACGGCAAAGTGTCACAAAAAATGATCCTCATAATAACAATGAGCGCTGCTATCAGTTAACTCGCGCTGCTTGCTTAGGTTTTGCGTGTTGAACTTGATTTGGAGAAAGAGAGATATGCTACCGACTAATAAGTGTTCACATTTTGTTTTTGTTCTTTACACAGTTTCTACAATGCCACCGAATACCTTATCTTCATTCCCGATCAGTGATCATTCCCGGGCCGGGAATGATCACTGATCGGGAATGAAGATAAGGTACCGGCTGGACCGGGCAGATCAGCTAGTAAGTAATAAAAGGTTTTCTTGCGGCAGTACAGCTTGTCACTTAATTGATGGTGGCAATGGCCACCACCAGGTCCGAAAGGGTTAAGGGGGTAGATGAAGGCGCATCTGAGATCAGCCTTGCCCTATCTGAAATATACATTACCATAGACGCAAGCGGTCATGTAGTTTTTTCAACTGTTAATTTGTGACAGTGCTTTAAGTTGTAGTCGCTTGTTTTTTTTAAATCAAAAACGAGATCCATCAGGTTTTGCTTCTATTCTTGATTGATGAGATACTTGAAATACACATTCTACTGCTTCCCTAAGCTTTATATAGCCCGCGCGAGCCTGACGCACGCACTACTATCATTCTGAAAATTTTGCATCTAGGCACAAATCATTACATGCACTTTGCTTAATGATAACGTTATAGATTGATTAATGGCCCGTTTCTTTTTCAAAGTGAATAAAGTTGGGAGAGTGGGTGAGTGTTAGACCTAAATGATCATATCGTGTGTCTTGGTTCAATCAAATATTTTGGCTTTACTATTACATCCGCTTCAACAAGAACTTCTTGCCTACAAGTTGTTTGCCGCGCATTCTGCTGTTTGCTAGTCTATCCATCTGTCACTTGTACTCTTACGAAGCAGTCATGACCACGCTGAATACCAGACATTCAAACTTTGGTGCTATTCTAAGAGCTAGTGCACTAGTGTTTAATTGTTTATTTGTTTGTTTGCACATAAGGTGGCCAATTTAACTATAAGGAAGGACAAACAGAAACACTCGATCGATAGAAAAGAAAATGATCTATCACACTCAACTCCCCATGTCAAGTGCAACAGTTGCAAAAAACGAGGAAAACCGTAAATGAAGTTCTGCTTGAGCCACAGAAGCAGACTTTACCGGCTTAGAATATAGATAGATGATTAGCACTGGGGAATGCCACCGCACTAAATGTAGTGTAATGAGGGCGTCCGAGACTAGATTGGTTCACGTTAAGTATCCACCAACCTAACATTCTAGCCTCAAATACATCTCTAGTACCATCAAGCAAAACAGATATCGAGAGCACTTCTAGGATAGAAGCAAACATAAGAAAGAGTAAAAGTAAAGACCAGTGAAGAATATTAAACTTCAACAGGCAAAATCAAACAAAAACAACTAAAGCTAAAGTATCTCTTTAGTTTCTAAAACACTCAATAACGCAAGCAACTATGCGATGCAGCCGTAAGTAAAAAAAACACATTACGTCATCAATGCCCAAACTTGAAGTATATATTTTAACTTTTGCTTTCAAGTTCGCTGAAGACTTAGAGACAAAAAGGATGGAAGTAGTTTGCTATGCAGTAAGCCAGAAGAAATTTTTTGTTGTGCTGAGCTGATGCGCGAAAACTTCTGAATCTGGAAAGCCTGTTATTGAAGCCGGTTCTTCGCTCAGTGATATGACGAAATGTCCAGTAATTACCTGGCCTCAAAAGTACCTCGCCCCGAAGCATTAGTAAGTCTGCCAAAATCCTTCTGTAAAAAAAGCTTCTAAAGCTCTAGTTTGCGTAATCTGGCTTTGTAGTTAGGAAGCGCAAAGGGATGATTAGGGTTAGGGCTCCATTATAGACAACTTTAGTAAAAAAAAACTTCTGCACTTTTTCAGTCATCAATATCTTCATTTTTATCAGGATTCCAAATATAGCTGCAAACATAAGCTTTATAAATCTTTAGAAGAATTCTCGAGTCGCGAGAGTGGACAGTGTTCATCAGCACATATACCATACCATTTATCGAAAATGCTTATAGATTTTATGACTATTGATTGAAATAAACAAGGGCCTAAAAACCTACTCCTTGAAGCAGCTTCTTGTTAGAGCAGAATGACTTTTGATGCCTTTGAAAGCAAAGAAAATGCAGTGTTCGCTTCTATTCGAGTAGGATGACAGATCGTAGGCGTCGCAAATGTTTTATATTTTAGGACGTTCGTACGAAAAAATTTGAGAGACGGGGAATGCAATAATGATTAGAAAAACCAGGTGGCTTTACAATTTTCTTCAGCTGTCATTAAGGGCTTTTTCAAATTTCTTCGTTTTTCTCCGTTCATACTCAACAAGACCCGTTTTGAGAGGTCATGGCAGGTTGACATGCGCACAACACATCAATGTTTCAGGCAGACTCATGGAGAAGAACGCAAATTACGACGATTTCTAGAGTGGCTTTATAATTGTAGTAGATTTTATGACATTAATTGAAATAAACAAGGGCCTAAAAACCTACTCCTTAAAGCAGCTTCTTGTTAGAGCAGAATGACTTTTGATGCCTTTGAAAGCAAAAAAATGCAGTGTTCGCTTTTATTCGAGTAGGATGACACATCGTAGGCGTCGCAAATGTTTTATATTTTAGGACGTTCGTACGAAAAGTTTTGAGAGACAGGGAATGCAATAGTGATTAGAAAAACCAGGTGGCTTCACAATTTTCTCCAGCTGTCATTAAGAGCTTTTTCAAATTTCTTCGTTTTTCTCCGTTCATACTCAACAAGACCCGTTTTGAGAGGTCATGGCAGGTTGACATGCGCACAACACATCAATGTTTCAGGCAGACTCATGGAGAAGAACGCAAATTACGACGATTTCTAGAGTGGCTTTATAATTGTAGTAGATTTTATGACATTAATTGAAATAAACAAGGGCCTAAAAACCTACTCCTTAAAGCAGCTTCTTGTTAGAGCAGAATGACTTTTGATGCCTTTGAAAGCAAAAAAATGCAGTGTTCGCTTCTATTCGAGTAGGATGACACATCGTAGGCGTCGCAAATGTTTTATATTTTAGGACGTTCGTACGAAAAAATTTGAGAGACGGGGAATGCAATAGTGATTAGAAAAACCAGGTGGCTTTACAATTTTCTCCAGCTGTCATTAAGGGCTTTTTCAAATTTCTTCGTTTTTCTCCGTTCATACTCAACAAGACCCGTTTTGAGAGGTCATGGCAGGTTGACATGCGCACAACACATCAATGTTTCAGGCAGACTCATGGAGAAGAACGGAAATTACGACGATTTCTAGAGTGGCTTTATAATTATGTCCATCATTGTAGCTCTTGTCTCGCGTCTTGTATATGTATACATGACAATTCAAAAAAGGCTAGAAAGCATATCGCTCTCAAAATTGCAATTCTGCGGGATGAAGCGCTCGTCTATATAGGAACAATTTCCTGAACGATCTGGTAAATCAATGCATGTAACAGAATGAGCATAAGCGGATAACTTATGTGCTTGGCTATTACGAGATTTTCTAAGAATAAACAAACTACAACATTACTAACATGTTTCTACACCAATCCCACTTTGAATAGTTGACGGTTTTCTTCTCATATAATTGTTTAGACTCCAACACAGCTCAGATAAATAATCTGTGATGTTTTGCTCACCAAATGTATTAGGTTGTCCCGTGAGTCTTTTCGCTCTTGAGTTTTGCCGTGATAAGTCGTGCACACTTCTTGTTCTGAATAGACATTATAATACCATTCGATAGAGCAAAACAAGCTATAGTTGTCCTCCTCCCAGTAGACACCTAGTGGACGAATTTGAATTTGAACTCGAGCACGCTGGTTCCGGCATAGCGCGGCACCTGCAGCGCTTACTTTGATCTCGAACAGATTTATTGGTGTTTTCTCGACATTTCATTTTACTTCTAAAATGTTGACGCTTTTCTCAATAGCGATCGAAGATTTTGTAGCTTTTGAGCGATGTGCTATGCTTGCTTCTGCAGCGCTAAGTTCGCAAACTGTGATAGTGGAATCTTTCTCAATGTGTAACATGTTCTGAAGCGTTTCTTCATCGAACTTCATGTCAGAAGCTTTTGTATCGTTTTTCCAACCCTCTGAAAATATAGCTAAAGAAACGCGCATAGCAGTAAGAAACACCATTAGGCATAAACAAACTTGGCGATTGTGATTACGAACGTCATCAAAACTAGAAAACTTACCATGGAATGAGGAGAAAATACAAAAGACTACAGCATGAACTTGAAATGGGTTTGAAGTGCAGCGCTCTGCCGCAACCGGCATGCTCAAGTTCGAATTCGTATTCGTCCACTAGGTTTCTAGTGAAGGGAGGACGACTATATATAAAATGCCGTTATGCTTTTGCAGCTTGTCAGCTTCGATTCATCTCAACTTTAAAACCAAAATCAAAAAAATTTCGAATACCAAAAAAAATTGAAAATTTTTTGTATCTTCGTTTAAAAAAGTCCTACAGATCTCTCACTTGCTCATGTTTATCACTCCGCATCAGGCACTCGTATGTGCTGTTGCTGTATTTTTTCATTCGCTGGAAATCGAGAATTGTTTCCAACAAATGTCTGAGCCAAGTCTTGCTATATCCTTGCCAAAATCTTATCTACAGCGCTCGCGCTCCTAATTACCTTCTACGGATACAGGCGGCAGGCCTTTGGTTCCTCCTGCACCGCATCCTCTTGACATTTAGCCGATTCAAAAAAATACAGCAATAGCACATATGAATATCTGGTGATAAATTTTTGATGTGGCAATTATGTTTTTCCGAGAAAGCATTGGGGTGTCCTATAATCTTTACCGTTTTCAAACTAAACGTCAGCATTTCTCGAGAACTGAAGCCTCTTCAAAGTTTACAAACACATGGTCGTACTTCTATGTGTATGAGCTATATGATCACGTGCATGGGAAGAGCTAAGGACGCCTAGGAGCGCAGTTTGCCATTTTACCCCAATCATTTTTTCTTTATTTCTACTCATGGAAAAAAGTACGAATTAGCAATGCGCGATGTGTAAAGCATACGTTAGGATAAATGGATAAATTTTAAATATTCCGGGAGGGGTGGGGAGATACGATTTTGAAGGAAAAGTTCATTTTCGACTACTATCAGATTTCATCTCAAAACTTCACATGGAATACGATTTGGGTAGACTTTCGAAGCCATCTTGTAGAGCTTGCTTTGCCCTGTCGAATGTTTACTCAAGCCACATCAATTGAAGGGAAAATACAAGGAAAAGATTGACATAGTAAAAACAGTAAAAAATTATGGGACACCCTAACAAGAATTCTTACAAATTCTGAGAGCAAATAAGGATGAATCACGCAAAAACACAGTGTTATAGCTAATTCTCAGAGGGAGATTTCCCAGAACTAGCTATTGCATGGTTTACTGGAGGAGAAAGCAATGCAAAAATTCTGACATGTGTAATTCCTGGTAAGACTCTATGATGTACACGTATATCTTGAGAAAGTCCGCATGTTACACAGATGAACGTCAAAAATATTTTCAAATGACAATTTCGTGCATACGCGCGTATGCACGGGCCAAATGCACAAGGAGTGTTAGTGTTAGTGGGACGTTCAGAATGGCTCGGTCGTCAACTTGTTGAGCTCTGAAGCGCCACCTGCAAAAAGTCTCTTTCAAAAGTTTCCGAAAAATTGGTTCTTTTTGCACCACAAATGGCCTGATTTTATCAAATGATTCGAAGCCTCTCTTTCTAGAATAAAGTTGGAAAGATTTTTGATTTTCGAATTTGTTTAGCTAATATGTTCTGCACGTCCTTCAAAACCAGACCTTCAGTCAAGATATTTGTAATGCGATCGGATTTCTTGCTTATTGCGAAATCGGAGCAGGAAGAAAATTAATATCATGTCTCAAATGATTCCATCTGATGTGTAAACTACACTTGCATTACGAAAATTAGCCTAACAGAAACGCTTGGGTTTCTTATCAATTTTTCCACAAGTTTTTGATCGTGCGTCAAAATGAGTAAGCGATTGAAAGAACTAGGAACTCTGTTGCAACAGTATATACAAGAAAAACAAAATGATGCAATTAGGTCCCTTGTCAAACTATTCACAAAATGATAATGCTTTCCAAACTCACGGGCCGCCAATCGCTAACATGTCTTTGTATTCCATAAGCTGCAAAGAAAATTCGGACGAAGTAGTTTTTTTTGTAGGCAGAGTAGTGGCAGGTTATAACTACCGCCAAAGGTTTCCAAACGTATGATGTTGTACTATTTAAGCACGATTTTTTTGCAAGTCTTCAGCAAAGAATCTGTGAATAGGTTTTGATTCTTTTGTCATTTCCCTCCAAATCTTAAAAGCACGTCTTCGGCTATTTCAATAAACGTAGGATGTGGAAGCAGAGGTGCGATAGTCGGAGCCGATTCTCCGCCTACCTTCACTTTTAAGCTGGTACAGGGTAACCACCTTCACTTTTGGGTTTTGATTTTTTTTGCTGAAACGGAAAAATGGAAATTAAGCAAAACGAACGCAAAAGAAAGTATTGAGAGCATATTCTATGTACTTTACTTTTAGCAAGTCGCCGTCGCCCACTGCGAGCACCTGGAGACCATCACCGACATGGACGCATACACGCCTCAGCATTTTCTACGATAGAGCAAACCCTTATGACGACTTTGGATAATTGAAGAGCTTTAAGCCAACGGTCCTCTTTAAGGCCACAAATACGATAAGTACAACTGCATAAATATTTTAAATGAACATGTTAATGAAATACTGTATTAGTGAGAGATACTCAGCTAGTCTTTGTGTGTTTTATCAAGTACATTTTGTTTTGACATACTGCGAAGAAAGTAGGTCGATCCAGGCAGAAACCGCCGAGAACCAGAATTTCGAATGATAAAATAATGAAAAATTATGCGATGATTCCACTGTTATAAATCTGCTAGTCGAAAAAGTCAGCAAGTGCGACTTATAGGTTTTGAATGGTAAGTGTTGTTCCACCAGACAATGAATTAATCAGTTTGATTTGAGAAGTGCCCGCCGAGAACGAGAATTTTGAAATGAAATGAAAAATCACGCAATTTTAGGTTGCTTAATGACAACTGATATTTAAACTCTTATAAATCCGGACTTTAAAAGTGTATGATGTTACGACTTCATGTGCCCGGGGGTGGAGTACTTCTCTTCACTAATTCTCCACTGGCGGCCTCCAGCCAATACACTGAAATGGGCGGGGTGAAGAATTAGTGAAGAGATGTATGTACTCCACCTCGGGTTAGGGCCGCAAGAAACATTGAATCCCCCACATATTATATATCATCTGAAAGCTCATGAAGCAGAGAATGAACCTATGAAGCAACATGACTCATGCAGTTCTGAAGAAGTTATGGGCTAACGGTTTTTTATTCTCTGCCGTTTCTGCCTGGATCGACCTATTTTCTCCGCAACATGTCATAACAGAATTACTTGATAAAACACATAAAGTCTAGCTGAGTATCACTCACAAATACACTATTTCATTAACACGTTTATTCAAAATATTTATGCAGTTGTACTCATCGTGTTTATGGCCCTAAAGAGGGCCGTTGGGTCACAGTTATTGGCCCTAAAGAGGACCGTTGCTTTAGAGCTCTTCAGTTGTCCGAAGTCATCATAAAGCTTTGCTCTATCGTAGAAAGTGTTAAGGCGTGTATGCGTCCATGTCGGTGATGCCCTCCAGGTGCTCGCAGTAGGCGACGGCGACTTCCTAAAAATAAACCACATAGACTATGCTCTCAATACTTTCTTTTGCTTTCGTTTTGCTTAATTTCCTTTTTTTCAGTTTTAGCAAAAAATTAATACCCAAAAATTCGAAAAAAAGCCCAAACCAAAAAAAAACCAAAAAACCCAAACCAACCCAAATAAACCCAAACTCAAAGTCCGTCCTGTGCTCCTCCCTCTCTACCCCCACCCCCGGTCAACGTTTTTGAGAGGTAAGTGTCCGGCACGACCACCTTCACTTTTGGGGGGCCCGGCTCTACCTATCGCACCTCTGTGTGGAAGAGCTGCGGAAGAACAGATTACAAAGGTTTTTGAAGTTTTGTTCAGCATTATCTCAACAAATTTTCCTTCAAATGCACCAAAAGTGAAGACCTTTGGCAAGCGTTGTCTGATGTATGTGAAGGAGTCAAAGGACCAAGCGGATTATCTCTGGATATAAAGAATTTTGGGACTCAATGGACGAAAATGGTAGGCAGTATCCTGTATTACGAACCACTGTAGTTTTCGTTCAAGATGGGATATCCTTTGGTTACTGCAAGATTTTCAAGCGATACGTTGGAGGTAACACAGCAGCGATACACGCTCAATACTTCTATTCAAGAACATGAAAAATATCGTTCTCCTCGTCCGAGGTTGGTGCAGGCTGTTCAGTCAAAGATTTGTACTGCTTGATGCTATTTATAGTTACAAATGGGATGTACCTATATGGCTCAAAACTAAAAAAGGCGACACTATATTGGAATGGCTGAAAGCAAGTAAGTGTGTACAAGACGAGAAAGTTTAGGTGAGAGCGGAGACCGAGTGAAGAAACCGTTTTGGGAGCCTAAGTCATCTAATTGTACAATAGAGTAGTCCTTCGCTGAATACATATAGTACCCCTGCTGTATTATACAATATAATATTTATGCAAGAACAGCTACCTTTAGAATTTTGGCGATTGACGTGTGCAAAATACCGGCATCTCAGACGTAGCTCTGTTCCACCCAGTCAGGTCAAAATTGGCAAGGCGGAAGTTCGTGTAGCGAGAGTTTTGCGTTACGTCTGCATCTAGGCTGTTTGCTCGCTGTTTCACGCTCGCTTTGTCTAATCCCGGCAGCGCAAGGATACTATATCTACCGTCAATCGACTGTGTGTGAATTTGTACACCATATTATTTACAACATTTACTTAATTCTTCATTTAATAACTCATAAGAACATCTAGCGGTCTTCATTCAATATTTCATAAGCGGAAATACTGCTAACTCCTATTCAACTAGGCAAGCCAAAAAAAACAGCGAGATATCTCATCGGGAACTATTAACACATTCACGACAGGGCCGATTTTTCGATGACTGCCATTTCGGAGAGCATATTTCGCAAAATTGAGTTTGTGTAATATTTTTAGGTCACTGATGGACCCTGTAGTCTGAAGTGTTATTTTTTTAGAAAGTACTTGAAGAGTTGTATGCAGAAGTTTACTCGGTTCACCTAAAAAGTTTCACCGTGAGCTAACAAAACCAAAAACTTCGGAAAGCATACACCCACCGGTGGGTCGTATTGTCGTGAATGTGTTGAGCGTGGATATCTTGAAATAAAGTACATGGTGTGCGATACGCATGTTGAGTTACAAATGACTCGACTAGACGTTGCACGCGCTACCTCCAGCAAACAGGGGGAAACATTGCAATCTTTTACTAGAAAAGTTGGGCACTGTGAGGTGAACATTAAGCACCTTTAACCTCAAGCGCATTCGCGAATGAAGTATGTTGTGCAAAAAGGTCGGAGTTAGCGCCACAAAGATTTTGTCCTAATTTTGGTTTTAAACATAGTTTCTTTCATTTGAGTAGGTTTGCAGCAGCGGCTTAGTTGAAAGGCATTGCGCAAATTGAGTTTGATGTGCCTCACAAATGAGGGAAGAAGGTGGCCAGGTAAAGTACGCATAACCTTAAAGCATAAATTCTCTGATTTTCGAGCCTGTCTTTGTGCACAACTTTTTGCGTGGAAATTGTGAAGCATTATTTAAAGCAAAATTGAGGCGCAATCGATATAAAGCTAATCATTGCATCTTTCTGGGCTCTAGCAGCGGAAGGATGATGACATGGGAAAATACTTACTGCATGAAACATCTCCCTGACGCTGCTCCATCTGAACGCTACACAGATGCAATTAATTTTATCGACACTTAGTTTTAAGAAAGTCTCGCAAATTCTCAGTAGCTTCTACAACAGGGAAAGGTGAAATCAAAAAGCTGCAATATTCATGACAAATGCATGTAATCTGATAAAGAGCCACTTCGACCGCGTGACCTTTTTTGTCAGATAACGCCTACTTGCGTGATCGACGATGGTTGCCTATGCGGTACTCTTACCTAAGATGTTTGTCTGCGCAAATCAAAACGGTCATTTGGCATGCTGTAAACAATCATTCTACGAGCACAACCTTATCAGCGAATAGTGAAAATCTATGTTTGACGTCCAACTCATCTTTTGCGGTTTAGAGTTTTAAAGCAAGTTTCGAAGGTTATAACTTGCTGCAGCAGGTTATACCCTTTGAAACTGCTTTTTTGACTCCTATGGCAGTTCCAAATAGTCAACCTCATCCAACAGCTTTTTTGTTTGTTGTAGACGAATGCGATACGAATTTGGTTACTTCAGGCTGCAATGGTAATCGAAAGAGTTAAGTAGTAGTCTTGATCCGTAGAATTCATAGAAAGCTGAGAAAACTTTTGTGCGCAAGTAATCTCGCTTCTATTCTGTTGATAGCAACTAGCGTTCTATCGATTTCATCAACTCAACTTGCAGGACTGGCAGTTCAGGTTGCGTTCATACCTGATCCGGAAATTCGGGAACAGTTCCAACACAGCGCTCAAACAGAGCGCACTGCTATGACTGTTTCCAAACTTGGATCAGTACGAAAGTAGTTTCGAAGCCTTTTGTAGATTCTCAGTTTTAAGCGTTTCTCGCAAGGTGCAGAGCAGAGAATTTAGCTCAGGTTTGGGCACGAGAGCGGCAACTGACAATCTGAAATTTCTTTAAGAAGGAAGAAGCAAGGAGCGTCGGTTCGGCAAGAGCCGAGTTGGTCTTGAAGTTATAAAATTTTCGATGATCCACATTTCGAAATTTGAGGTTTACCGAAAAATTCGATTTTTCAAAAACTCATTTGTTCTTATCAGCAACATGCTTAGCACTGTTGTGTTAGATGTTCAGTACAACTTTGGAAGGTTTTCGTTAGCTTCGGTGAAAGAAAAAGACTTGGAAAGAAAATCGCCGGGGATCATCAGGGATCATACAAAAGCTGGAAAATGCGGTTCGTACAGCTTCTCGCTCCTTTTCAACATGTTCATAGTGAAGGATAGTAGGAACACTTACGGACAGGTAAACAACGTGAAATCCAGATATCTGGAGGTTCAGAATATGAAGCTTTCTTTCAAGCTGCAATCTCCTCTCCAGCGGGGAGGTTAGTGCATGCGGCCCTAAGTCTTTCCTTTAATTTCATCAGAATTCCTACTGACTTTATCCTGACATTTTTAGGTGCTGTGATGACAAATTTCAAACACAGAAAGGACTGAAATGCTTGACTCTTTATCAGCTTCGAAATTAACAAACAAAAAATGACGAAGTATACGTAGAGTAGGATAAATAGTAGACATTATAAAAATTCAAAAGAAAACCTAATTTTAAAACGCATAAAGTCGTTGAAAGTGAGCGCGTGTTCTAAATTTTCGAACGAAGAAAGTTCCGTATGCCATGAAAATTATGTGAACCTTTCAGCATTTATAAAAGCCAGTCACTTGGCTAAAAAGCCTTTCTGGCCAGCGATTGATTGAAGCATGAAAAGGCTTTATTTAACATAAGGTTCTTCGCGTTTTTACATAGAAAATTTTCACAACAATATTGTAGTCAATACCACTTTGATGTTTTACGATCAAATGTGCGCTAAACAAGTCATTTGTTTATGACATAATTTTTGAATCTCGCGCATATGTGAAAGAACATGTTGGACTGTCAGTCGTATACAGGGCGAAGCACTTGGGTGGCAGATGTTGAAGGCAGTGCCCATACTAAATCTAACCCCCCTCTGATCAGGACTGATCTTGAATGTAGGCCCCTCGAGATGGGCATCTGCGTTAGTCCGGTCCTCTAATGTTGTTCCTGAAGGAGATAAGGGGCCTGGAACAGCCAAAGTGCTATCAGACCTTGCCTAGATTTTTTTAGACTCCGCCCACCCATGTACTGAAAGCCGTCCGCGCCGTCAAGGTGGGTTCCCAGAAATCGTGTTTTTTGGAGGCTTTGAAGAATTGAATTTCATAATTGTAACCAGGGTCACAGAAAGACCCCGAAATGGCAAAAACATGGGAGGCCAAATTTTGGGTGGACGCCTGCCTTTAAGCTGAAAATTGTTCCAGGAGAAAGCAAAGGGGGTTTTAAGGGTCATACGCACATACAGTCTGACCCAGTTCTAACCATGCCCAAATTGCCATGGCGGGAGTACATGAGACTAGGGTATTGCGTCACATTTACGTTCATGTGGTCTGCTCTCTTCTCAATCTCTTCGTTCTCTTCGACAGCGCGCGTATGCAGCGCAAACCTCTAGCGCTGCGGGCGCGCAAATCGGCTGACAGTTCGGCTTGATCCTGATTGGGGCAGACTGTACGCATTCCCTTGACAAGCTGTTATACGATGGGCCTATGCTATGTGGCTAGGTGCCAAGCTTTTGCCTGCATTCCTCCTTCAATGGAAGTATAAAAACATATCACGTTCGCATCATACATTCTAAGAGATGACACCAAATTCGGTGTGTGCACGCGCGTTGAAGCAAAGAGAGATCATTAAATAACATGGAACTCACGTAAATAAAGACTGCCATCCTAAGTTCACCCTGAAAATGGCAAGTTCAGTTCACACAACTTCCTCATAGTTTTTACATAAATGATCTACTAATGCTTACTATGCGGGCGTAGCAAAATTTTTACCGTTTCTGATTTCTCGTCAATCTTTATTTGGTAATGCAGACATTCTCTTTCTCTGACATTTATTTTTAAATTTGCTTATTCTTTCCATGGCGGAGGGCGGTAGCTAACATCTCCCACCAGGGCTCAGCACAGCTGGCACCGGGTCAAGCTGGATATCGTTTTTAGGGCGGAAAGCAAAGGGGATATCGTTTCTACAGGGGCCGAGGCGGAGAACTGCCGCAAAAATGCCGCCGGCATGCCACCGGCATGCCATTGGCAAGCTGTCCATCAACAAACAAAGGCGTTGTTTTCAGCCAAAACGCAATAGTATGACACCAAATTTGGTATGTGCATGCGCGTTGGTGGACCGGAACTATGGGCCAAAAATTTATGAAAACTTATGTGAATGAAAGCTGTGCCCAACTTTTTTCTGAATTAGCTGGCACCGTGCCAGCTGGGTGCCAGCTGAGCTGGCACCGGCACTTTGCTCGCATAAGTTTTCATACTTTTTTACAAAAAATGTATCTACACTGTAAAAGATTACATACGGAGAAGAAACATTTTCATAATGTTCTCTTTTCAGCGTTTTATAGCAATTTGAAAACCACTCGGTTCGCTCCGCAGTTAAAAAATCGACTTTTTCTGCTTCTCAAGATGTGATTCGACCACTTAAAAAGCTCAGAAAGCTGTGAAAAGTTCTTTCATGAAATTAGAAATGCATGAAAACACTACTACATTTTTTACATAATATAAAAATGATGACGGGTTTTCAAAACAGGTCAAAAGGGACTTCGTACGAAATTTTCAATATCAAACGGGACTT